AAGCATGAATACAGTATAACTAACGTAATCCTCTAATTCTGAAGAACCCTTAAGTAAAGGAGTTGCTTTCTTGAAGACAGACGCTTCACAATGCGTAATTTTTGCCTGAAAGAAAGTGCATTTCTTAATTTTCACCTTGTGACGTGTATTCAAGTCCATTAATTTCTTAAAACTGCGAGACGCTTAATATTTTATTTTTTTAAACGCAGTGAATTTTCTCTGGGTCGTGATCGCTGGATTGCTTGTCGTTCTCTTGGGACTGGTGATATGTCTTTGCTACACATGCAACATGCTCTACTACTGTTCGGAAAAGTGCCGTGGTTTATTTCATCGTGAGACGACTCCCCAACGAGTCGAAAGGCGTCGTTCGCAAAATCCGGAACACGGCGCACTTGCAGCGAGAATACGCGAAAAATACGGTAGCATTCATCAACTTTTTTTGGTTCAATTCTATTTTGTGGCGTTTCCAATTTTTGCAATTTTGATATTTTTGCAGGCATTCCGGAGAAACCGAGTTACGAGAAGTTCAGAAATGACGAGACGGAGTGAATTTAATGGAGCAACACGTGATGTTGGTCGATTGAAAGTGATTTAAAACAATTCGTGTTGAGAGAATGCGAATGAACGGCATTATATTTTTCATGTTTTACATCTGCGCGAAGATTGTTCAGTTGAGATTTACTTTCGATGTTAAAGTTAATTGCTTTTATGTTTCCTATATTTGGAGGCAAGACACAAACTTGTCTGTTTCCGATAACTTTCATGAGGCTTCTGAAGTGTGGAGGCAGTTCCAGCAATGACTAACCATCTCTTCAACGATGAAACCCTGCATCGAAATTCAAAAATTTATTCATTCATGAACATGTGGAAGATTCTACAGTAGAGAGAAAAAAATTTCTATCCCTGCCATATCTTCAGAAAAAGAGCAACTATGCGACGTTCCAGCGAATCTTTTTCGAAATCGGGAACTCTCCCTGAATCGTGCACAACTGAAGAAGCCGTGCGAGGCTTTAGTAGGGCTTTATTCAGAAAGGGAATCGCGTTGAGTGATGAAGACATTGAAGCTGTGACAGAAATCTTTGGCATTTATTTGCTAAAGTTGGGACTTTACGAGAAAGTCCCGAATTTGACCCTGATCCAGCTGGCCTTTGATGAGTATTACGCGTGAGAAATTCAGTTTTTATTTAGAAGTCCGAAATTGTTTTCGGGAATGAGGACAGATGTCGCCTGACGCAGTTATGAAGAGCAAAAACATTCCCTCATGTAACCAATTTAAACTTCAAAAAAAAGTACAGCATGTCCAAGCTACATTTTTGCAATTTACGGAGAAAATCGGAGAAGGAAGAAAATGCAGTACAGTAATTGATTCAAAAGAACTATGCCGAATCAGTATTTTTTTTACCCTGTGCGCTGTGTACTAGCTGTATTTCAATTTTTGTGCATCAATTGATGCTATGCCAAAATAAATATGAAGGATATTGGCTTTGACCGTGGAAGAAAATTTTTATTTTTTTTTCAGGTATGCAAGGGGGCCGGCAGGTTCACATTATTTACTTTTCTCAAAACTTGTTCCTAAAAAAAAGAATTCGCAATTTTGCAGAGTAAATCCTGAAGCATCCTGCGTCGAATCCGTCACCACATTTGACTCGGTGTCGAGACAAAACTTTGCTACCCATCAAAATCTGCTGGAATCTCAGTCAAAAGTCAACATCACTTGCGGAGACACCATTGGTTCAGAAACATCTATCGTAGGAGCCGACTCTCTCGCAGACCTGATGCAATTTCTACCAGAACGTATGGGACGCCACGTGGACCACGAATCCAGCCACGAGGCGCCGTTTTTGCGCTGTCGCGATCGACGCAGTCATCGAAAGGCGGAATCGCGTCATGCCAGCAAGAAGACACCCAAAAGCCGAAGCCGTGATTCTGCCGATGCTTGTTTGCTGTCGGACTTCGTTTCTGGGAAAATCGCGTGTCGAATAAGGGAATCACTGTCGGGCATAAGCTCCAACTGAATATTCTTCTCCTTCATTATGTTATGCATGTGCGCACGAATTCTTTCTGCTGAAATTTACTGTCATCATCGAAAGACTTCAGGTTTTTTTTTTCTCAGCGTCCTCTTCTAAGATAATTGCACTTTTGATGGTCTTTTGCGGTGTACAATACTTCATTCAAACGAGATTTTTGGTGCGTTAGTTCAGATGGGAACGTGTGTTGATCGATGATTTTTAAATGAAAAATTCCTCTTTATTTTTTTCCTGTTTCTTAATTTTCTGCTTTGCATGATCGAAAGACAAAATCTTGAGATTAATACTGCATAAATAGATGACTGTCTGAATTTCAGCATGGTTTTTGTAAAGAAAATTGTTCGGTAGTTGGTTTGAATCCCGCATATTTCATGAAAAAACTGATTAGTTTCAAATTCAGAAATATTTAGTTGGATAGAAAAGCATATATTCTTCAGGAATGGGTGACATTCCGTCTCTGTCAAATGGGAAAGGATTTAGGTGGACTTCCTTAAAAGCAATCTGCTTTCTGCGTAAAAAATTGCCATTTGTTCCAAGGGGGCTCTCTCCATGTAATACTGGTTCTCTACAAGATTTTTTTTTCTGATCCCTTGTTTTGTTGTTGAGAGAGTCTATCATTGCATTCCACTTTGACACTGTGTAAAGAACAACTCTGTCCCAAACAATGTCTTTTTGAGCTCTTTGAGAGGAAGAGCATCAGGAAGAAGTGAGTTCTAAATGGGCAATCTCTTATACTGTTCAAAAGCATTTTCTTAAACAAAATGTTTGAAAACAATGAGAAAATCTTTGAAAAAAAGCTATAGTGTTCCTTTGAGTAAGGAGAATTTTGATAATGAAATCATTCATTGAATTAAAAATCTGAATAGCCCAAATAGCATTTTTTCATAGAATTAAAAATAGTTTAACATATATAAATGCGTAGATTTGATGTGATACTGGACTGAGACATCTCATTTTGTGGAAAATGAATTTTTACTGGAATGAGAAGTCATGCTTAGCCCAAAAGTCTGTGAGTTGAAATTTCAAGCAATGCAATTTCAGCTTAAGTAAAAATATAAATAGGAGTATGATGTTCTAATGTACCCCATTCTTCACTTCTTATCAGAAATCTGTCTTGAGGAGCAAAGAACTTAAGTTCATCCCATTTCCATGCAGCAAGTGCCACTTCTGTGTGCTTTGTCAGATGCCTCTCCTGCATACCAGGCAGGGAGAGTTCATAAAACTAGAAGAGGTACCTAGCAACAGTGTTGCTGAGTAACTCAACATCCAATTAGCATTAGGAATGCAACTCTGTTTATTTCCCTTTCTTCCAGTACTGGTAAGTCATTTCCATGAAGAAATACTGAACAGAAAAGAAGGAGTTGTTTACATTTCCGAAGAATATACGCCTTGCCGCTCATTATTATAACAAAATAATTGTGCAATATTTGAAACTGAATGTGAACTGGAGTTCCTGAGCCTTTTCTGGCTCCCCAAAATCCCTATATGCTTAAGCCCAGTCCCAGTGAGTTGTATATGCATCAGATTATTTTATACACGCGAGTAAGATAGAATTTTGTTGCTTTGTTAGGATCTTGTGGATTTAATGTAACATTTAAGTAAACAGTGTTTATTGTGTTTGAGAAAATAATGAGTTGATTTCTAACCTCCAAGCATTATGTTTGCACCTGAAGGGCATACATACCAACCGAGTGTATGCTCTTATCATCCCCAAAAAAGATATGAAATCATTGCCGCCTGTATCTTTTTTCTTTCGACTGCATATCCAACGTCCAGTCAAGCAAAGAAGATGTCTTGGAGAATCCTTCAAATCAGAAACTTGTTTGTTTTCCGACTCACTCCTGTGAATGTCAGATCAGGAAACACGTTTTGAGCATGAGCTGCAACTGCTAATTTCAATCTCCAATCATTGTATACTCATGAATTTTGCGCAAAACGAATTTATTTCTGTCGCTGACATCTGTTTCTTTTTGCCTTGTCTTGGAAAACAATGCACTCACACATCTTCGAAAAAGCTTTTGGTGCCATATCAGCAGTCAAATGGGTGTAACCTTCCACATTAACACGCATCACTGCTTATACAGTACTGTATATACCTTTGTAAAAATAAGCTGTACTGTACAGTATTATTCAGACGTTGAAGTGTTCGTAAGACTTCGGACCAAATTCTAAGATCTTTTGAAGGAATCATTCGTGAATCACATTCCTTTTGGTCTTCTTGTTAATTTAGGAATAAACATGAGAAGTTGAGAACACATAAAAATCTCGTCACTACTTTATGAGATTCTCCATACAGTATTGAACAGCGAGCAGACAACAGACAGCTGTCCAGTTCTTTAGTCCCTTGAATTAATTCAAACGCGAGTAACTTCGCGTCCAAATAAGTATTGATGTACAGTAATTATTTATTCAGATCAAACATATGACCGATGGGAAACCGGTGTCAAAAATTTAGTAGAAATATAATATTTACTTCGAGTTAAGAGATCATATTCTTCTCATCTTCAATGTTAAAGATTTCTTGTAATTTTTTCCAGCATGAAATGTCATGTTTTTTTGAACTTAGGTATAAAAGAAGAGAACTAAATAGACGTTCTCATCCTATACTAATGCTTCAGTGACTTACAGGTTTTTAGTGAGCGTAGAAAAAGAGTTTTCTACGGAGTTATACCCAAAATTGAAACAATTAGACATTTAGATTTGTCAAAAAGTTAGCAGGAAGTTCCTTCTTCCTCACACAGAAGCTAGACGACCTGTGCCATCACAATAAAAGAGACTGGATGACACACTAGAAGGCACTAGATGGACATGCACCAGTTGAGATTTTTTTCTGTCTGGCACTACAATAAATGCTTCGTACTTTTCACATATAAAAAGTATCGTAAGTGTTGGTGTTAAAAACAAGTGGCCAAACAGTTTTACGACTTAAGGAAAGGAATAATAAGTGTTACAGCACATTATTGAAACAACAGACTACCGAAGCTTGTTCTCAAGCACGCTGTACGCTGCAACTGCTGGAGCATCTTCCCGTGGTTCAGGTTGTCTCATGGAAATAGGGGCAGATGTCAGCGAACTTCCTCCGACGGGTTTCTGCAATACTTCTCCGGTGTAGTCATTTTTATCAGTAGAATACACCAGCCAGGAAGATTCGCTAGATGTCGCACTACGAGGGCGATTCCAGGGTTGTTCTTCTCCGCTGGCTAGGAGTGCATAGAGAAATGCAGCGACGAAAAAGCAGCCGGCTGAGATGCGGAAGATGACGGCCCATTGTTCCAGTGTTTGCTATGAAAAATACCAGAAAAATGGCGGTTTTGTTTGATTGATTTGAAAGGCATATGTTATTTGAGAGAAGAATAGAGAGATAAATTTGGTGTTATACTGGTGGACTCTCTTTACCAAAAAAATACAAGGGACCAGAAAATCCATTGTAGAGAGAATAATACGCTATAGAGAACATGTATACAGTAGAACATAGGGAGAGAACCTTATAGAACCAAAGAAAAATTTCTTATACAGAGAAAATTGCCAGACAAAATTTTTGTGGGGACGAGAGTCCATCTGTACAATGAAACAATGGAAAAATGAAAAAATATTGGACAATGAAATTAAACTACAATGAAACATTTTTTGCAGACATAATTTCATTGTAGAAAACTCCTGGACAATGGAAAATCCTTTATGCAGAGAAAATTATTATAGAGAGTTTCCACCTGTGTAACAAATCTGTTTGGTCCTTCAAGGTTTTCCCCATGTTATATAGGGGTTTTCTAAAATAAAAATCTCCCTAGAATGATTGCTTTCTGATCCCTTGAATTTGGTTGTACTGTATATAGGGAGAGCCATCCACCATTGCATGATCCACTTGAACTTCCCAAACTCAAAAACCTCCATAAGGCGGATTTCCAGTCAACCCCGCACCAATTTTCTCAAATTCTATGCAATTCCAACCTCCCAAACTGGTAACTTTTGGGGTGAAACCATTTTTTACTCAAATTTTCAAGGACTTCGTGTCAATAACTTTTGGAAGTTTTAGAGCAGTTTTTCCAGGAAGAGAAATTAACAGATGCATATTACTGGACTTTTTAATGGCCTTCAGAAGATATTGTAGGCTTCTTCCTGCAGCTTATTGCGTTTTCCTAATTTTCCATGGCATAAAGTTACTTGTAAAGTTACGCAGTCCCGCAAAAGAAAACATAGAAAACAGTAAAACCTTGATAAGTTGCCACCATTGCTTCTGAGGTTTAAGGGGGCTGGTGGTTTATTAAAATATCTATGAAAATTGAGAATAATAGGGAATAGAATTCTCATTATCGTAGAAAAGAATCGAAGAAAAACCCAGGGATGCGTAAATTATTTCTATCTAATGTTCCCGAAAAGTAAATTTTGTCCACTTTGCGTTTGTGTTTCTTTTTATTTTGTTAATTGGAAACCTCTCTGGGAAACTTTTTTTGCAGGCCATCAAAGAAAAAATAATATGACGGAAGCATATTTGAGTTCTCAATAATGTTGGCGGATGGCGTTTTAACAGGGTTTCCAATGTATCTATCATCAAGAAAGATTTGTTTACCATAAAATTAATTCATCTTAACAGGGCTCAACTATACAATTGTCAATACAATCAATAAGTATTACACCTGTATAAAATTATGCCCACAAAATACCCAAAAGCCATTTAAAATGTTTTTCAAGGATGAACACGTGTTTCAAATTCTCTAAGCTGGGTCTGCTATTCGGAACAACAAAATTGGTAGCAGCTGTCAAATCTGCTGAGCAAAAAATGAGTTTAACGCGACCCATTTTCCTACCAATAAAGGCAACACAGCGCATAAATTGAAAGCTTGTTCAAAATTCAAGAAATAAACATAAGTGAATAAAAATTCACCTGTCCCGAAAGAAGATTTCCCGCAGTAATTGGTCCAACGATGGAAACAATATTGTATCCAATATGTACGATTCCAGTTATTGTACCTACAAGACGATATAAACAAACATTTTCAACGTAAAATTAAAAAAAAATCAGTGTACTGCGAATGCATTTTTTGAGAGTTGATCCTTTCACCTGCAAAATTAGGAGCTATGTCCAACATATTCGCGGAATAACCCGAGAGGTTGAATCCTTGAATGGCACCGTACATAGCCAATATTATTATGACTCCGTCACTGTTGCATCC